AAGCTAGCCTGGATCACTCAAATCTCTGCCTCAGGTTACAGACTCAACCTTTAAACTGCTTCTCTCCAATTGATGGGTTAAAGGGCTCTAATTTAGGGGTGGGCCTGTGGCGTAGTGGTTAAGTGCGCGCGGGCTGTTTCCTGGCTGGGGGTTCGCAAGTTCGGATCCTAGACACGGACATACTCACCGCTCATCAAGCCATGCTGAGGCGGCGCCCCACACAGAGGAGCTACAACTGGACAACTCTGATACGCAGCTATGTACTGGGGCTTTGGGGAGAAAAAAGAAAAAGAGGAAGATCTGCAACAGATTTTAGCACAGGGCCAATCTTCCTCTCGCACCCCCCCCCAAAAACAAGGAAAGATTCACCCGGGTCTAGGCTCTGTGCTGTTTAAAAAAAGGTGGGGGGGGGGCTTTAATTTACATGTTAAATGATTTTTGTTTCTTGCCTTTCTTCCTCCACTGCTTGGGAGGGGAGCATTTTGGAGCAGGACAACATGAACATTTTTTTGATTTGCCTTTCAAATATTGTGACTTCTTCCACTGTGGTTGTTGGTTATTATTTTTACTATAACTTTACCTTTTTTTGGTTGTTTTTCACTATATTTTCGGGGTACAAAAGTTCTATGATTTGGTGTCACCTTACCCTGAAAATCTCTATAGCCATATCTTGTTTCATATCCGAGAGTTACTAACCGTTAAATATTAGAAAGTGTTGGAGGGCCAAGTAGCAGGCTGGAGGGCTGAGTGAGGTGGAGTGAGTGATGCTTCCCCTAAGGCCTCGCACACGTCCCACACAGGAGCGGCACATTACACCCTGAAGTGCCTCTGGTCGACCAGAGAAGGGGCGCCAGGTGCCCATGAATGGGCTGTGAGGGGTCACAGTGCCCCACCAGCTGGAAGAGGCCGAGGGCTTCCGGTGTCAGGGGCGAGTGTGAATGTGGCCACGCCTCCACCCTCCCTGCCAGCTGATTTCTGAGCTGCAGCGGTCAAGGCCGCTGACTTCCAGCCCCAGCACTGAAACACAGTACAGACAGGGAGCCCCGCCCACATGTCTACGCCCAAGGACCTGGGAAAGAATCTGGGAGCTCATCCGTGCCGGTTTAGGCCGTTCCACATCTGATTCCACGTGGCGGAGGCCACACCAGGCGCAGGACTCATTCGCTCAAAAAACCAAAGCAAACGCACGCCTAGAAACGTGAAGAGGTTGAAGGCAGCCGCTTGAGAACTTGGAAGGAGAACAGAGATGTTGAAAAGTGTCGACTGGAACAGCGGCAGGTCCTCAGGAGGTGAAACAATACGAATGGGCAGCACTGAGTCAACCTTTTCTCCAGAACATTCTGATTCAGAGGATGAGAAGATTGAAGTGGATGCTGAGAGCACAGAGATCTCCCACCTAGACGGCCAATAGCAGGGTCCCCAGCGTGGGTGACGCTGATAGCACAGCAGTCTGCCGAGTATCTGAAGGGGTGGGGGTTACTCTAGTGGCAGCTGCAAACTTCTGTTTCAATTGGCAGAAAAATCTACTCCCTTATAACTATTTTAAAGGAATTTTTTCCTACTTTTTCTTAGAGCTTGAAGTCAGTTCAATTGACTCATACCACACCCTGTTCCCATACAAAAGAATAGACAACAATTGTTTGGTATGGAGTGGAACTCAGGAGTCTTTGTCATCTCACTGTCCTCGCTCTACTGATTTCATGCTGTGGCCTCTCCTTGGTTCGTAAATCTCATGTCCATTTCTATCTTTCACTTCTTTTAACAGACTCTTCCAGACAAGTCATTCTCTCAAATCTCCTTGAGGTTTTGGATCTTTGGTACCTTTGGAATAACTCATCCCTCTAGATTTATATTTCTTTACAAACAGATGTATAAATGAATATAATCCAAATAGGATTATAGAGAAGATTGAGTTAATAATTTCAAAGATCTTAGAACAGTGGCTGGTCTATGGTTAGCATGCAATAAATTTCAGTGTTATCGTTTTTAAACGTCATCATTATCCAGATTAAGAGCAGAATCTTTTGGGATCATCCAATTCCCTTTCTCTTAATGTTAGATTTCTTGAGGCAATCAATTTGTTGCCTGACCGGATTTATCAACTAGGTAGAGTGCTCAGGCAAGGGCTCATACCTACTATCCTGCCAGGGAGGGTGAGTGTTCTAGCAACTGGGGTTCTGGTTGCCAGTCTCTGTGAGCTGGTTGGTGTGACCCTCCCTTTTCGCCTCAGAACTGATCACATGTGGATTAAATGAAAGGAAAATCAGATGGCTGGTCTTGCAAAGCTGAAGGCAGGTGGTTGACCCAGGAGTTAGTCTTCTCCCAGCCTCTGGCAGAAGCAGCCATTGTCCTGCCTTTGTGTTATTCAAACTTGGCCTTCATTCTTCCCCTCTGCCATTCCCTCGTCTCCAGTTTTGCTGCACTGAATTTTGCTAACTTAGAATGTGTCATTTCGTCAGCAGAAAAGTCACTTCTCTTCTTTCACTTTCGTGACATGCAGAATTACATTTGTTTTATTTTTGCCCACAAACAACTGTCAAGTTTTGCTTTCTAGGAAAGTTGAAACAAGAAACAAAAAAACTGAAGTCTTGAAAATTATAGAGAAAAATGGCACAGCTCCTTTGTCTTTCTTTTACTTCTCTTTGTTTATACTAACCGCAGGATGAAATAGAAAGTTATGCAGGAGCAACAAGACACACTATGCCCAGGAAACCACTATGTAAAAAATGTTATTAAAATTATTTTTGTTGTTGTTTAAAATTAAAATGAAATATCACGCATAAGTAAAGGAAAGAAGGTGATTTCTCCCTGACATAATAGCCTGGGCCTCACTGCCCTGCATTCTGAGCACGAGACAGAAATGGATGAGCAAAGAAGCCCAGCAGAAATTCACAGGGGGCCAGCCCACTGGCGTAGCGGTTAAGTTTGCATGCTCTGCTTTGGTGGCCCAGAGCTCACGGGTTCAGATACCAGCAGGGACCTATGCATTGATCGTCAAGCCACGCTGTGGTGGCGTCCCACATACAAAATAGAGGAAGATTGGCACAGATTTTAGCTCAGAGACAATCTTCCTCATGCAAAAAGAGGAAAATTGGCAACAGATGTTAGCTCAGAGACAATCTTCCTCACCAAAAAGAAATACGCAGACTGAATGAACAACTGACAGTCACTAGTTTCTGTAATATAAGTTCTACTGGGAGATGTCATCAACAAAAGGAAACACACAGACTGAATGAACAACTGATAGTCACTAGTTTTGTTACTGAACCAAGTGGGTTCACCTTCTGGTGAGTTAAATAAGACTCTATGCCAGTGGACGTTGTCTCACAAAGTAAAGTGTATTTGCAGCAAATAGGAGACCAGGAGGAATCATTTCCAAAGTCGTGGTGTCCCTGAACAAAGGGAAGCAAGGATCTTTTATTTTGGATGGGGAATGAATATTCAAAAGAGAGAGGCACGTATTCGCTTGTGCAGGCTGGGTTGGAAAAGATGCTTCCATATACACTGCAGGTTATGGTGATAAGGCCTAAGCTCCTCCTGGAGAGATCTTAGCATTAAAAATAAGGCAAAGGTCATGGGCATAGCTCTTGTGGTAAGGCTTGGTCAGTTTCAGGGTGGTTGGTGGTTGCATCTCCTTAACATAACAAAAGAGAAAACACCAACTTGGAAAAACAATTAAATGCTTCCAAACCCACCCTTGAGTTTCTTGGGGTACCTAGTCAGTGACAGTTTCTGTAATATAAGTTTCTACTGGGAGATGTCATCATTGAATCCCCTGTGCCCAGCTAAGACATTTTGAGCATAACAAGTGTTCAATAGTTTAAGTAAAAGAGTTGACAATAAAAGCTGTACTGGCAAAATAAAAATTATGTCCCCACTAAAGGTGAAATAATACAATTGGGTAATTCTCCCACCTCCTTAGACAAAACAGACTTTTGCTCTCAGCACCTGAGGGCTGTTGACACTTTCGATACCTGGGGACTTGGGTCATTAGAGCAGGACGTCACCACTGAGAACTAGGGTCCTTCACACAAACACTCTAAGAACAAGAGGAAGAGTCCTGGAAGACTGTTTCGTTTACAAAGAAACAAGCCAGTCCATGGTAGGGGAATTCTAAAGTCCTCAGGACATGGTGAGCCTGCCCTCAGGGCGTGAGTCCAGGAGAGTTTGGGTTGAGGACACTCTCACTCCAGAAGAAAAGTGTAACTAGATGTGATAAGTACCTTTTCAGTGAGGTGGTGCTGGGAAAATACAATTACCTTGGAATTAGAATCTCCACACCTATGTGCACCAGAAAAAAACTAGGATTCCTGCTGGGAGTGTTGGCACAGCCTGAGGAGCACTATACAGTGGTTGCAAAATGGTGGAAAGAAAGGGCAATGTCTGTATCAGTGCTGATCTTGTGGCTCCACTGAAGCATGACCACATGGACATACATGAATGTATTCAAGAAGGAAGAGAAACATTGGAGAAGCTCATTCACCAGTAATTGTCAGCCTTTGCTGTGAATAAAACAGTAAACAAAATCTAGACCTTGGTTCTAAAGAGCTTATTTACTATCCATGGTCTGGTAAGTACCTAACAAAATACAGAAACCCATAGGGCTGAGAAAGCCTGTCTCCATATGTAAAGTAAGGAAGGTAAAAACATAGTCCAGAATCAAGGCCAATTTTGTTCCTAACACAGGGAAGAGCAATATTTGTATATTAAAAAATGCACATGAGTATGTGTGTGTATGAGTATTTACATACCTACATACACTTCAGTCTTTAGGACAAAGACTTTTCTCATTTGATTAATAAGTATCCATTTGGATTGGCACGTGTGAAGTTTACTGGGAAAATTAAACTTCTATTGCAAAACTAGGAGTTTGGATTGATGACATCATCTTAGACCATATGGAGAATACATAAATGAAAACAAAAAAAGAAAGTAAAAGTGCAGAGAAATGTTTAGAAAATGAAAATTTGTGTGTTCCCTATTTAATGGCCATGCTTAGACAGAATGTCATCAGAGAACCTCGGGTCCAAGGTTCATAGACACCCAGCTCAGCCAGGCCAGCAGCACCCTCATTTTCCCCATGGCCCTCCTGCTCTCTCTACTGACGGCCCTGGTGGTGTTCAGCTATGGCCCTGGTGGATCTCTGGGCTGTGACCTGCCTCAGAACCATGTCCCGGTTAGCAGGAAGAACTTTGTGCTTCTGGGCCAAATGAGGAGAACCTCCTCCATCTTCTGTCTGAAGGACAGAAAAGACTTCAGCTTCCCCCAGGAGATGGTGGATGGCAGCCAGTTCCAGAAGGCCCAGGCCATCTCTGTCCTCCACGAGATGCTCCAGCAGATCTTCACCCTCTTCCACACAGAGCACTCCTCTGCTGCCTGGAACACGACCCTCCTGGACAACCTCTGCACTGGACTCCATCGGCAACTGGAAGACCTGGACACCTGTTTGGTGCAGGAGATGGGAGAGGAAGAATCTGCCCTGGGAACTGGGGGCCCTACACTGGCGGTGAAGAGGTACTTCCGGGGAATCCATCTCTACCTGAAAGAGAAGAAATACAGTGACTGTGCCTGGGAGATTGTCAGAGTGGAAATCATGAGATCCTTCTCTTCACTGACAAACTTGCAAGAAAGGTTAAGAATGAAGGATGGAGACCTGGGGTCACCTTGAAATGATTCTCCTTGACTAATGTGCCATGTCACCCTTGCACGTCTTTAGTCATTTCAAAGGCTCTTATTTCTGCTTTAGTCACATAACTTATTGAATTAATTCAGCTAATACTTTGTCAGTTATATTAAGCAAGAATATGTTAAAAATATTCAACTCTAGGCTCATCAGTCCCTAAGAGATGACTCGTTTGGTGTTTTTATTTATTTATTTATTTATTTATTTATTTATTTATTTATTTATTTTCCATTCCTTCTTGCCTCTATCATATTTATGATATTTAGAAATTATATATATAATTACTTGTTCATCTTTACATTGTATTAAAATTTACAAAATATGTTTACCTTTCCATGTTATTAAATTTGCATTTTATTTTATTTATTAAATTCTTATTAAAGAAAACTTCTTGAATTTGTTTATTCTAAAATAAAAATCCAAACCATCATTTTGTAAACAGTATTGAGGTATAGACTGTAAAATTTATTTACTCATTCATTACATTCATATTATACATATAAATTGAGTATCTAAATGACAAATTGTGTAAGTGCTGTAAAGAAATACAGATAAATAAAGCAAATACAGTTCTTGCTATGTTGAAACTCTCAGTCTTACAGGGAAGGAGACCTAAAAGCAGTCCTAATGTTTATTTTATTTCAATTAAATTAAACACTACAAAGAGAAGTAAAGGAAAATAATGTTCTCACACTAGAAGTTTTAGGTACCAATGATGCTGGAAAGGAAAAATCATATTAGAAGTCCTTTCTAAGGTGCCTGGGAGATATATAAGTGCAGAGGTCTTATTGGCTGTTGGGAATATGGGTCTAGAATTTACAAAAATGCCACGGGTGCAGGTATTAACTTGGGATTCCTCATTGCATATCTGGAAATGAGGGCGTGGGGATGGATGTGGTCACCTATAAACAGAGTGGACAATGAGGAGAGGACCTATACCTAGCCCTGCAGACCCTCCACATTTAAAGGTAGGGCAGAGGAGAGTCTGCAGTGGGCAGTGAGGCTGAGGGGCCAGTGCAGTCAGAAGGACACATGGGGACGAATGGGGGAGACTGCTGAAGGGAAGAAGAGTGTTTAAAAGACAGAGTGGTGCTTGCAGGGCAGGTGTGGCTTGAACTGTCCCAGGGGACCTGAAAACAGATGCCGCTGGTGACCTTAGCAGGATCTGGTTTAGTGGAATTAATGGGACAGAAACCAGATGGGAGTAGGTTGAAAAAGAAATGCAAGAACGAGAAGTAGGGACTCTGTGCATAGAAAATTATCTTTGTAAGCATGTTTGTGAAGTGGAGGGTGGAGAAATAAGGTGGTCCCTGGAGGAGAAGGTGGGTTAACATGCCCGTGCATATTTTTCTTCGTGTTTTCTGAGAATCATTTTCAAAGAATGGATGAATTGGCACAAAATATGTGAATATTTTTAATATCTATTTGATTTAAACTATTGCTTATTCAGATATTCGATTTAATTCATTGCTTGTTTGGCTAACAAGTAATTTATCATTGTTCTAATTAATATCACTCTGTAGTGAATTTCAGTGGTCACCCATTTGCTTGCTAATTTTAGTTCTTTTTTCAATCAAGTTTTACAATCAAGTCTCATTTTCTTTTATCGGTTACTTCATTTACTCCAGTTTTATGTTGATCATTTACATTATTTATTTATAATTTTATAATTTCTAATCATTATATAAAATTTTCTATAAATTATAGCCATATTCTTTTGATAGACACTTGTTTTTAATTTCCCCTGTGTACAAAGAGCTGGACGGTTCCTTGTCTATTTCTCCAAGGGCTGTTTAGGACATAGAACTAAGCCCCTTCCTAGTACATTCTTTTTTTGGTTTTATACATATTCAGCTCCCTTTCTTGTTAATCAATCTGTTTTTACATTAAGTTCAGTATTCCATTAGCAGTTTTTTTCTAATCTATGATATGAGATGATAATCTAAATTGCTTTCTGTTAGAGTGCCAGAGAAATTCTTAGAAAATTTTATTAAAATGTTATTTCTTTCCTTATTAATAATAGATACATCTATACCAGAAATCTAATTAATTCTGATAATACAAGTATTTTTGACATTATTTTCTTTATTAATATGATTACTGAATTTACTTGTTGCTACACTCATTTTACTATGGGGACTTTAAAACTCCTTTAATGCTTCTGATTGAGGTAGCTAAGGTCAAGAAGTCCTTTCTATTTTTTAATATTATTGCTTGCATTATTCCCTGATTAACTTTAGAATTGTTCTAAGATCGAGAGCACTGGCTTCATGAAAAGCATAACATTTGTGGATCCCCAGATGACTAATTACAACACAGAATGAGACCCCCAATAAAAATAAACAAAAGAAATTGGGTCAGAGAATCTTTTTCCCCAAACCGAAGGCAAAGAACAACTATTAAGTAATATGCAGGAAAAACTACAACATTAGCCACAAAAAAAGACCAGGGAGAAAGTTTAGAGATTGCATAAATTCTAATTTAAGAAATGTTGACAGAAATTGGTAATATAAAATTTAAGGAATCATTCATTCCTCACAATATAGTATTTGGTATTGACCCACCCATTCTGCCAGCCAGTGTACATACACATGTATAATTTTACTTTCCAATCATTTTTTTGTATTTTTATATTTAATGTGAAAAACTTCTCCTAGCTAGCTCTGTCCTGTCACCTTGCACTGAAAAATCTCTGTAGTCATCTCCTGTTTAATATCCACAAGTTATTAACTTGTATGTTCCAAAGTAATGCAGAACCAAGAAGTGGGGCTGGCAAAGCAGAGCTGGGGATGAGTGAGCCGCTGCCCCATTGAGCTACCGGCCCACCCTGCACAGGTCTTCTCCAGACTCTGGACTTTAGCTGCCAAAGACATGTGCTCAGCTGGAGGAAAGGATGAGGGGAGACAGAGTCATGGCCATGGTGGTCATGAGCTTCTGCAGGGGATTACTGTGCAGTGCCAGTGAGAAGCAGCTGAGTTTTGGCGGGCTGCAGGAGCAGGAGTGGGAACATGGCCACGCTTCTACTCTCCCCACCTGCCACGCCCTCCTCTGCAGAGGTCAAGACATCCCTAATGTCCAGCTAGGCACAGAAATGCAGTAAACAGAGGGAGCTGCAGCACCAACATGGCACACATGTCTACACCAAACGAGCTAGTAAAGAATCCAGCAGCCCACTGCACCTGTGTTTAGGTGCTTGTAAGTTCCCATTTCATTAGAAAGAGGCTGCACCAGTCACATGATGCTCACGTGCTCAATAAACAAAGCATCAAGAACTATGAAAAGTTGTCAGAGCCAGCAGCAGCTCAAGAATTTGAAATGTAAGAGACTTGGCAAATTCTGGTATGTCCGGCTCTTGAATGCAGATTCAAGAGGAGATGTCAAGTTTGTTACATTTAAGTTTCAAATGTGTTGTTTGGCCAAGTTGGAGGTCTGTTGGTCTATCCTGTGAAAGATCATGGTGGGCTGCTCATTTATGCTTCTCTGCCTTCAACTACATTTTAAGGTGAGTTGCAGGATGGCTGGTTGTTTGGAGGAGGCACTTGGAACCTGAGATCAGAAATTCAATAAAGGCAGAAAATAAACACTTCATATATAACACAACATGTATACACCACCCAAATTCAGTTTTTAGAAAACACTGCTGGTCAAACATAGAAGGAAACATCCTCAGGATAACAAGGCTAATTTGTGACGGGTATCAGGGAAGTGATGATCACATTAATTGTACCGTAAAATGCCTGTCTCAAGGGAAGGGCGTCTGTTATGACTGGAACAAATGGGAATTGGGAAGAAAGAACTTATCATTATTTATTTACGCAAGACTGCCCTGGAGAAAGGATGCTGAGATTCTCAGCAATTTCTCTGGTTCTTGTGGACACTGATATTCCCAACATTGGTGAAAATCTCAGGCTGTGGAGTGAGAGGGTCAGGATTCCAAAATGAGGCCCCAACCTTGGGAAAGTTATTGAAGCTCCTTGTGGCTCTGTTTTCCTCTCTATACAATGAGGATAATGAAAGAACTGACATCAGCCTGTTGTGTTAACAGATACAAAGATCAGAGAAACTTGAGAATCAAAGACCATAAAGGAACAGAGCAATACATTTTAACACATTAATTTAAAAGTCTGTCCAGTCAAGCATCATAAAAAATTTAAATCACATGAGATTGAAAAACCTTATAATATATAATAGGGTATCAACATTTTCAATATAGAAAGAGCTCAAGAAAGTCTAAGAATGCCATAAAAATTCGAGCAAAAGAATAGAAAGAGGCAATTTACAGAAGCAAATATAACTGAGGGGATAACATACATATGCCAAATCATCAGCCTCCCTAGTGATCACGGATTTTTTAAATAAATGAAATTTCAAATGAAAAACCTGATAAACAACAACAACGGAAAGACTGCTTAGTGATAGCTGGGGTATGAGCACGCACTTATACAGAGTTGGTAGAGGTGTAAAATTTTCAAACACTATTGGTAACATCTATCAAAAATTGTAAACCACTAGACCCAGCAAACATAGTAAGAGGTGTTTATCTTAACAGAAATACTAAATGAATACTCAAATTTTTGCATTGTGAAGTATTATTTATATGAAAGGTAATTGAAGTCAACTTAATGTGCCAGTACAGGTGAATAGTTAGGTAAACTATGGTTCCTTCGTATTATATTGTGCAGCCACATTAAATTAAATGAGGTAGATCAATACTCACAAGCATCTCCAAGGGTGATCATGATATCATGAGTGTTTTCTTGAGTGAAAAAGCAAGTTAAGGAATAAGAAGGATCACATTGGTGAAACTGATACCTAAATTATTCCTAAAGATTAGGATTTGAGGAAATAAAGGGTAGACATGGGATCGTTTGATTTCCTTTTCTGGAACCAAGATATCTCTGTTTACTTTTAAAAATTAGCTATATGTTTAAAACTGATTTTTTGTATTGTTTCCAACATTTCTATTAGATTGAAGCAAGGGATGT